ACGATGAAATCATATCATAAAGTGAAAATTATCGGTATTAATATTTTGAAAACCACTCCGCATTGTACTTGCATGGAGATTCCACTGAGAGACAATGTGAAGGGCGAAGTCAAGTGATTAATACAAATGACCATCTGTCAATGACATTTAAAATTTAGATTAGAGACAACTTAAACTCATGACTACAGACTACCTGCTGACCTACTGACATCGTTCAGTCATAACAATAAATTGTAATAAGAAATTCACTAATTTGACAACACCAGCATACTTCACTCACAGAGAGCTACCAACTGATGTATAGCGTGACACGTTGCATCACGCAGTTGATGCAGCTGACCACTGTCAAATTATGCTGACACTGTGCGGCGACCACCGGTCGAAGCGTGGACAGCAACCAGAGATCTGCGCCAAAGACATCCCATTCCGCCAAAAGGAAATAGCGGACTGTTAAGCTAATGAGATTTCGCCAGGACCTTTGAAAAACGATTTTGATCTTCATTTTCCCTGACCGCTTCTCGGGCCGCCTAGGCAGACATGTCAGACAGTGCTTCCAACGTTTTCGAGCCTTTGCCACTGTCTGAGCTTCGGCAGAAGAAAAACCGGAGTCTACACCAAGCTCCTTCCTTGTACTTGCACCAGGTTAACATTCTCCCTCCCCTGTATTTTCTGCTGCTCAGCTGGACAAACAGTTCCTTCTTTTATGGAAACGTGCCCAAACCATCGCAGCTGTAACTTCTCTGTCTGAAGAAGCGGGGGGTGGGGGCAGTAAATCAAGGCTCTCTCGGATATGTGTATTCTTGACTATGTCGAGACGCGTAAGGCCAGCGACTCGTTTCAAAAAGTCCATTTCAGGCGCTTTTACCCGGGTTCGAAGCTTATCAGTCATCGTCCGCGACTCATGACCGTATTTAAGCATGGGATAAAGATCGACTTGAATACCGAGAGCTTTGTTTTCAGACTGAGCTCTGCTTTGGTCGCAGTGGATCTGGCTAGTTCACGCAGAAAGCGAATGGCTACTCCATTTCGCCGGTCGATCTCTTCCTCAAATTTTCCATCACTACTAAATAAGACCCAGAGGTACTTGAACTTCTCCATCTGCTCCACTGCCTCTCCTTTAATCCGAAGAGAACAACAGGCAGGAGAACGAGAAAACACTAAGCGTTTCATTTTAGATGCATTCACACGCATGCCTGTCAGATCGCACTCGGCTGCGAACCTTTCCATGGACCACTGTAGATCGGTTTCAGAAGATGCCAATAAAATAAGGTTGTATGCACATCTATACTGACATACTCATCACCTTGGCTGTTCCTGAGTATTCCACCCATGTACAACACAAACAGGAGAGGGAACAAGAAGTAGCCTTGGCGGAGACCGGTATCAACGCCGAAGTATCTCGATTTAATGCTATTTACTCTGACGTAGCACCTGTTATGAGCGTATAGTGATTGGATGGCCCGTAGCAACTGACCATCGATCCTGTGTTTGCAGGCATGCCTATAGATTGTTGCGCGGGATCGTTTCTCTGGGTCCACAATGTACATACACTGGATGGGCCAACTACTACGAATCTGACCTAAGAGAGTTTCTTTTCAGATGTGCTTCGGCAGGCCGGAAGCCATATTGTTTTCTTATGTCGTTGAGTCAGTTATTCTTTGGCGCCTCCTTTCTAGCACCTTTGTGTGGACTTTACACGTTAGCCTCTATCAGGTAATACTCCAATAATTGGTCCCCTCCCGATGGTCTCCTTTTTTGAACAGGGTGCTCAATCACCGTTCTTCAGTCAGCTGGTGTCCTCCCCGCAGCTGTTGCAGTTTGGCAGACACGTGTATGCCAGCACATGCCTTTTTCATCTCTTGCTTTGAGCATTTCAGTGCGAATTTCTTCAGTGCCAGCAACCATGTCACTTTTCGATATTTTCACAGTTTGTTATTTCATATATGGAAATACTATTATCTGATTCCTGCTACTCTACAGACGAGTCTTCCTGCGGTTTCTTGGGGTTGACGTTTTCCTGAGAGTGCTGTCTCCTTCTCCAAAGAATGTCCTCATCCTTAGTAAGAAGGTGTCCAGACTAGTCCTTGTGAACTTTTAGACTGCCGATGTTTGCACATCAGAGGCTACGAACGGTCTGCCAGGCTACCTTATTGCCGTCTGGAAATTCGACTCCAACACCTGACGGAACTTGTCTCAGGAATCAGCTTTGACTTTCGCCGCCGCTTTGCGCACTTGTAGATACCTCACGCGAGTTGAATTCTCTTTGTTTCCGAGCCATTTCTTTTATGCAGCTTTATTCTCATTAACTGTCAGTTGAACATCTCGTGTCTACTTGGTAGTTCGTTTCTGGCCTCCAGGCGTAAGGCAAACATGTCTAAAACCGCAGCATTCAGCGGGAATCCTGAGTAAGCCGTTCTGAAAGAGCTCGCTTTCGGTTTCTGCACCAGTGGTCATCACCAGAATCTGTTCAGAAAGTCGTGCGATGTTGTTTGCAAGTTTCGTTCTCATGTCCGCGGAAGATAACGTTTCTCTTTGATTCTTTGGTTGCTTCTGCCACTAGGTCGTCGCATGGTACCCCATTTCTCACAGCGCTGCACATAGTGCCAACAACAAGGCTGTGATCTGTTGAAGGTTCTGCTCCTTTTTTAACGCAAACATCCATTACGGAACATCATAAGTCAGAGGATGCTTTTCTCAAATCGATCGTCCATTTCTATGCACAAGTTTCTATATATCTGTTATAGGGAGACACACATCGACGCTCGTAGAAGGTGTTAATAGTAGATAGCTCGTTGTTTATACAAAAATGCAATATCTTAATGCCATTATTGTTTTGAAAATAATCTTTGCGGATATTGTTATCACACATTCGGAGTAATCTTAATTTGTGATCGTCGTCGACATCGGCTTTCTGAAACGTCACTCGTATTTCAAGTACACGATGGAAAGTGCTCGAACAGCTTCCTGCCCATCTGTAATATTCAGTGAATATAATGCAACGCTGTCGATTATTGGCCGGCTCAAATCGCTCGCTTGGCAGCGGCTGCTGCGTGCTGCCCTTGCACTGTGGCGCTCTGCTCTCATGGTCGGATACGATGCTGTTAATAACTCTCAAACTCCTTGTAAACTTTGACCTGGCTTTCTGCAAATTCCATCGATTCTACGGGACAAAATAGTATAATTTTGTTTGGTAGAGAGCGAGTTTATTATATTTACAATTTCAGATGTCTATCGAAAATGGCAGCGCATAACTCGATTAAGCAGTCACTTTTACGCTAAGCACTGAGTGGCATATCAGGGAATTAGAATCAAAAGAGATCTGTTCTGACTTATCGCCACGGATTGAAAAGCAAGTTCACAGTACTATAAACTATGACCCTTTTCCTACAATTTGTTGAGGGCGTTTTTCTGACTTAAAACAGGTGTCGTGAGGAAATGAGGTAATAACACAAAAAAACGAAAATTGTGATGGGGGCCGCTGAGTGACTACCGATACAGCACGTAAAGTATTCAGCTCCTAGTGGCAGAATAATATAAAAAGTGCACATGTTCACTGAAAAGTGACAGAGCGACAATTTCACTGGGATTGCCGCTTCTCACACGCCTTACTCCAGTAATTTGCAGTTGTGCTTGTTCAGACTACGAACTGATGGGGAACGGTCTTGTGTCGTTTTACAGCGACATTCGGCCACTGATCAGTGGCCTGCATGTGTCGGATTATCCTGTATACGGGTGATAAACATGGGTGGGTGGGTACTTCAAAACCTTGACAAGTGCCGACGTATTTTCTTACCATCGTAGTTTCACAGGAGGGTCAGCAGCTTGGCAAATAATGAATGAGGGCATACGTAGGAGCGATAAAGCGGTAAACTGCGCCTTAACAACATGACAGAGCCATATATTAAGCTTACAAATTTATACGACGTCGATGAGATACGGCTAATTGGCGAAGTTTCTCTACCACAATATGGTGATCACACGGAGCGCAGATGTCATTCCTGATGGCAGTCTTGAGTAACGATCTGATGAAGCTGCTGAAGACCTGGTCCAGACTTCTTTCAAGGGACGTCCTTGCAGTTAGATGGAGTCGCTTAAATAGCAGTAGGGCCGTGTCGACGATTATGCTATTTGTCGCGCAAATGCTGCCGCTGTCGTTTTCGGTGTCAATGCCGTAACGGCTATTTGCTGTGCTCAGCTCCCGCCTTAGCGTTGAAGTCGCCTGTGACAACTGTTAGATGTTGATGCGACAAAGCTTTAACAGATGATTGCAAGCGGTATTGAAAGCATCTTTGTTGCTGTCATTCGACAGATTTGTCATATATATTGGACAGTCACATTCAGCGTCGCATGTTTGTCATTCACACAACAAATCGCGATTTTCTTAGACACCTCTTCCTCCGAAACGACTTCCCGGCTTACTCTAGGAGACAAGCAGATATCCACACAGGCGCGGAGTAATCTACAGCCTGACCTAAAAATGCCATCTTACAGACCCGCCAATGACCTGCCCATCTTGCAAATCAAGCATTGGTATTGGGGGTCATGCGGCAGACATCGCTTAATTAACCGTTGTTAGATATGGAGCTAACCTTTCAACATGCAATACGGAACGCCCCTCTGTAGTGTTGCTGGCGGGCAACAGACTCTGAAAACTAAGGTGTCGTCTTTTTGTTGCTGTTTGACATCAGTTTTTTAAGCTGCAAGATGCGTTATCAGTCGAAGCATCCACTCGAGAGAAGCTTTCCTCGGTTGAAGAGCAGTTCGAAATCTTTAAAGTAAGTTTTGTCGTTATGAACTTGGCAATGGATGATAATTTGTGTATATGAGAAATTAAATCATGATATTCGTTGTTATTACTGTAATATTGAACATGTAATCTTTGTTTAGAGAAATACTACCATTGAGTCGTATATCTTCTCAATACGCGGTATGAGAAAGATACGTTAAAAAAGCGATGTTTACCTTTAATAGCATGTTTCCTTGCAGCTAAACCAGCAATGTCATGAGGTAAACATTAGCTTTATTTTTTATTTACAATGCGAATAATACTAAACGGATCGGCAGGTTCAGTGATGGTTGTGAATCTATATTTTCCATCATGGCTTTTATTTATTATCATAG